TTTGCTACTAAGTTCTAATAGGCCGATCTCACTTAAAATTGGTCTAGGAATGATCAGCTCATGGTCCTGACAAAGTTAAGTTAACATTATACTATTTTTTACTCAAATTGGTACATATTTCAACAACAAAAATAAATACTGTAGACTCAGGTGACCGTTAAGGCCCATGGGCCTCTTGTATTTTATCATCTTTATCCAACTGGGTTTATAAGACAGTATCGGTCAGAATCATTGTTGAAAATGACCAAAGTAATAAGAAAATGAAGTCGAAAATATCTGATTTGTTTCATATTGTTTTTGATCAACAGAGAATCAAAAGTCGTAAGGCTACGGTGGAGGAATTAAAAAGTTGTCATACGGAGGCCCACACATTACTGTATGGTACCAACCCCCTCAACAGACAGAGGCTTGATCCCCGGCTGTTTGGTAGGTATAAACCTCAGTAAAACTTGTCATACCAAGGCCCACACAATACTGTACGGTACTAGCCCCCTCAACAGACAGAGGCTTGATCCCTGTATGTTTGGTACGTATAAACCTCAGTAAAACTTGTCACACGGAGGCCCACATATTACTGTACGGTATTTGGTAGATATAAACCTTCAGTAAAATTAGACAGAGACTTGATCCCCGTCTGTTTGGTAGATATAAACCTCAGTAAAACTTGTCATACGGAGGCCCACACGTTACTGTACGGTACCAACTCCCTCAACAGACAGAGGCTTGATCCCCGTCTGTTTGGTAGATATAAACCTCAGTAAAATTTGTCATACGGAGGCCCACACATTACTGTACGGTACCAACTCCCTCAACAGACAGAGGCTTGATCCCTGTCTGTTTGGTAGATATAAACCTCAGTAAAACTTGTCATACAGAGGCCCACACGTTACTGTACAGTACCAACTCCCTCAACAGACAGAGGCTTGATCCCCGTCTGTTTGGTAGATATAAACCTCAGTAAAACTTGTCATACGGAGGCCCACACGTTACTGTACGGTACCAACTCCCTCAACAGACAGAGACTTGATATTTGTCTATTCAGATTAGAGTATATTAAACGACAGATATTTGTCTGGTCAGATTTCTTCCTTTATTAATATTCAAGACTGAAACCATCAGTTTATAAAATCCTAGCAAAATAAACTTATATACTGTTACTTAAAAGGATAATTGTAAACCTCTGTCAAAGCACAATAAACTTATATACTGTTACTTAAAAGGATAATTGTAAATTTCCCTGTCAAAGCACAATAAGCTTATATACTGTTACTTAAAAGGATAATTGTAAACCTTTGTCAAAGCACAATAAACTTATATACTGTTACTTAAAAGGATAATTGTAAACCTCTGTCAAAGCACAATAAACTTATATACTGTTACTTAAAAGGATAAATATGAATTCCCCTGTCAAAGAATGATATTGTTGGTTTTCTTGAAAATGTTGGTACGTTACCTGAATGTAGTTTAATGGTTTAATGTAAGTCTCATATTAGCAAAGTGCTAATAGAGTTGCTTGAATAAGTTGGTAAGAAACTATTATCTGGGCTTAATCAAGTAAAGTATTGCCTACGTAACATTTCTTTATCTTAAATTAACAACTAACAAATCCATGACATATATCAAATAATCAAGTATCTTTATTATACTTATGTCATTTTGAAGTTAATAAAATGCAGTTTTAGTAATAAAAATCTATGTTTTTTTTAGATATCAAATATGAAAATTTTGTTTAAAAATGCTTAAGCTGATTATGCTTTTAAGTGCTTGGTTGTGTTGGTATGTTACCATGACATCAACACAGACTTTGGACCAGCTCCTATCATCCTCACAAATATTGACTTTTGATTCCAGCTGTTCAAGATGGTTGTCAGATAATAGCTACAAAAATAAATTCTTAATTCTCATTAATTTACCTGATGGTTGGTTCGGATTGATCCAGAAATGCAGATTAAAATAGTCGTTATCGCAGATATTGCATGTGTAATAAATAATGTACAAAAGAGGTGTAGGTATTAACCTTCATTGGTAGTTAAATCAAAGCAAAGAGAAGTGTAACACAATGGTTAACCTTTCAGTGACCTTTAACAACTATACCAACACAACTGATTATTTTGGAACCAACACATTTGATTAAGTTGAAACTTTTATGAAAATTCATTGGGAAAATTGTTTGTAGAGATCAGCAAATGTAACATCATATCTATTGATACAACACAATTAAACATAATTGTCATTTTATAATAAGTTGAAATTTGAAAATATCCTTACCTGAATAAATTTTCAAACAATGCACATTTTTTGCCATATAATATTTTCAAACATCAACATTTTCAACACTGTTATCTTTAACAAATTTGAATTTGTTTCTGTTGTAGAAAATTCCCGGTTTTGTTTGTTACCTTGTGGAGGTGTAGGAGTGGACTCGGACACAGTCTGGAATGAACTGAACACTTACATCGCTGCACGCACAGTGAGTACAACCTAGTGGTAAAGTGGCACAGTGAGTACAACCTAGTGGTAAAGTGGAACAGTATAAAACAGTTCCCATCATCTATGACAGACCCCATTAATCAATAATTATTTAGGAATTTATATATATATTATATTATCTATATCAGCCACTTGAAAACACGGTACAAGGTCACATGATGTGTGACGTCATAGTGGAACCTTAGTTGATATCCTGTTCAGTATGGGTACATTTCAAGGTCACAGGGTTCAAAATTGCAAAAACCTTCAAAAATCTTCTTCTGAATAACCTTCTCGTTCTGTGCATATAAATGGATTTGAATCAAATTTAGTCTAGAACATTTTTGGAAAAGGGCAATTCACTTTTGTATAAACGGAGGATGTGTCTCCCTTAGGACAGAGAGGCGGGGCCCATTAGAGAGAACAAAGGGAAATATATTTTAAGTCCTTCTTTTTCTGTATTAATGGAGGGATTTAAAGATATTGACCACCCCCTGGGGGCTGAGGATGCGGGGCCAAAATGGGGTAATTTGTCCAAATCGCTTAAAGTGATTTGTTCTCTGGAACAAAGAGATGGATATCATCCATATTTGGTTTGGAGTATTCTTTGGTTGTTGAGGATTTAAAATTGTACCAGTTTGACCCATGGGACTGAGGGAGACAAAAAGAATGTTTAACTTGGACGTCAAGATCCCACGCCTATAACTATGTAAACAATTGCTGAGCATCAATAGACAAACACAATTATAATAAAAGAATTGACCCTTGGATCTGGCCCCACCCCTAGGGACTTGATTTCTGAGTCATATCTTTAAAAGAGTTGAGATCCCCACCCCATTACCATATATACCGGGGCCATTGCAGGGCATCAAGATTGACACAATCATGATATTCAAGTATTGACTCTTCAGTCTGGCCTCACCTCTAGGGACTTAATTTCTCAGATATAACTTAGAAACAGTAAAGATCGCCACCCCATAACAATATATACATGTGATACATCTTATCAGCTTAAAAAGATAAACACAGTCATATAATAGAATTCACCCTGGGGTTTGGCTCCACCCCTAGGGGCTTAAATCTTTGGTCCCAACTTTGAAATGGTTGAGATCCCCACCCCAATATACCATTGCTGAGTATCAATAGGCAGACACAATCATGATATTAGTATTGACTCTTGAGTCTGGCCCTACCCCTTGGAACTTAATGTCTGGCCAGAACTTTGAAATAGATGAGATCTCTGTCCCATAACCATATATATGTTTAATAGGTTTAAAGAGATAAATACAGTCACATATTAGAATTGACACAGGGTTTGGCTCAACCCCTAGGGATTTGATTTAATTCTTAGGTCGTTACCTTGAACTGGTGGGGATCTCCACCCAATAACTATATATATACCATTGCTTGGCATTAAGAGATGAACACCATCATGATATTAGTATTGGAACTTTTGTGACATATAACTTATAAATGGTTCAGATCCCCAACCCATAGCCATTTATACCATTGCTGGGCATAAAGATCTAGGTGAACAGTACAGGCCCTCTGAACCTCTTCTTTTATCACAGTTAATTGATTATCTTGAAAAAAGATCTGATAGAATTTTTAATCAGAAGTTTCTTTATTCTGGTGTCCAACATTTACTTTAAAATATGATCTGGAATATAACAAATTCATTGTTGGCATCGTACGAGGGCAGCTATTTACTACATTGGTAAGGTTTGAATGGTGAACAATGGTGATAAATCAATATCTTGTTACCTGGTCAGGCTTTTTATTGTAATTTTTTTCACCTTTTGTTTCATTGATTTTCTGTCAGGAGAGTAATAACATGTGAAGGGGAGGTCACTGGCCGCTGTTTTATATTAATAATGTAACCCTGGTAAATACTAGCCGCAATATATCGCTTGGCTATAGAGAACTTCTCTTTAGCTCGATCGGTTGAGCGTTAGACTAGTAAGCCAGAGGTCCCGGGTTCGATCCCATGCGGAGGTAGTGATTTATATTTAATTAATCATGCGCTCTTTTACATTGGCGCCCAACGTGGGGACCCGGGAAAAATACTCGGCCTTGCTCCACAAGCATCGCTGTTACCCCTGGAAAAACTCGAGGACGAGTTCTTTCCTGGAAGGGGGAGTATGTAACCCTGGTAAATACTAGCCGCAATATATCGCTCGGCTATAGAGAACTTCTCTTTAGCTCGATCGGTTCAGCGTTAGACTAGTAAGCCAGAGGTCCCGGGTTCGATCCCATGCGGAGGTAGTGATTTATATTTAATTAATCATGCGCTCTGTTACAATAACACTATAGGCCAGTACACAGTAAATTGTGATCAAGGATGCTGATATTGTGTGACAGTTTCTGCTTATGAACAAACTAAACCATTGATGATTAGTACAATGTTTAGTACAATCATCATTGCTTTACTTTGTTCATAAACAGAAATTGCTTTTCAAATTTGATAAATATAAATACAACTGTATAAATAATGTCTGTTTGTGTTTTCATACATCATTGATGTAGTCTATTGTCTTAATAGAAACAGGTCACTATGAAAACTTGACAATTAATCTGTACTAACTGTCACTATCACTGAACTGCTGAAGAACTAGCTGTATGATGTAGAAATAAATGCTACATGTACTTGAAAATTGATTTATTTTAAATATCTGGATGAATTTTCATTGGTATTAAATTTTAATGTCACCTGAGTCACTGAAGTGACCAACTGTGATTGCCTTTTTTTCTGTCGTCGTCCAATTGAGAATAGACAATCATATTTTCACCTTCTCAGAAACTGTTAGCAAGATTTTGATGAAACTTCATGTGAATCATAAGCTTATGGTTGGGATCAGAATCTATGCTCAAGATAAGGCCTCGACTTCTCTTCAGAAACCATCAGTCAGGTTTTGATCAAACCAGGTGGTAATCATCAGTGTGAGGTGGGGATCAGAATCTAAACTAGAGATAGGACTGACCCCCAGGGAGCTAAGGGCAGGGCTAAAAGGAGTCACAGAGTATAAAACCTATGCAAAACTTAAATTAAGCAATCATATTTCTGTGAGCTACATATCCCCACAGGCTGTGACAGTTCTGTGAGCTACATGTCCCCACAGACTGTGACAGTTCTGTAAGCGACATGTCCCCACAGATTTTGACAGTTCTCTAAGCTACACGTCCCCACAGACTCTGACAGTTCTGTGAGCTACATGTCCTCACAGGGTGTGACAGTTCTGTGAGCTACATGTCCCCACAGGGTGTGACAGTTCTGTAAGCTACATGTCCCCACAGGCTGTGACAGTTCGGTGACCTACATGTCCCCACAGGCTGTGACAGTTCTGTGACCTACATGTCCCCACAGGCTGTGACAGTTCTGTAAGCGACATGTCCCCACAGATTTTGACAGTTCTCTAAGCTACACGTCCCCACAGACTCTGACAGTTCTGTGAGCTACATGTCCTCACAGGGTGTGACAGTTCTGTAAGCTACATGTCCCCACAGGGTGTTACAGTTCTGTATGCTACATGTCCCCACAGACTGTGACAGGTCTGTGAGCTACATGTCTCCACAGGCTGTGACAGTTCTGTAAGCTACATGTCCCCACAGGCTGTGACAGTTCTGTAAGCTACATGTCCCCACAGGGAGTTACAGTTCTGTATGCTACATGTCCCCACAGACTGTGACAGTTCTGTAAGCTACACGTCCCCACAGGGAGTGACAGTTCTGTAAGCTACATGTCCCCACAGGGAGTTACAGTTCTGTATGCTACATGTCCCCACAGACTGTGACAGTTCTGTGACCTACATGTCCCCACAGACTGTGACAGTTCTGTGACCTACATGTCCCCACAGACTGTGACAGTTCTGGAAGCTACATGTCCCCACAGGGTGTGACAGTTCTGTAAGCTACACGTCCCCACAGACTCTGACAGTTCTCTAAGCTACACGTCCCCACAGGCTGTGACAGTTCTGTAAGCTACATGTACCCACAGGGTATGACAGTTCTGTGACCTACATGTCCCCACAGACTGTGACAGTTCTGTGAGCTACACGTCCCCACAGACTCTGACAGTTCTCTAAGCTACACGTCCCCACAGATTCTGACAGTTCTGTGAGCTACATGTCCCCATAGGCTGTGACAATTCTGTGAGCTACATGTCCCCACAGGCTGTGACAGTTCTGTAAGCGACATGTCCCCACAGACTTTGACAGTTCTCTAAGCTACACGTTCCCACAGGGTGTGACAGTTCTGTGAGCTACATGTCCCCACAGACTGTGACAGTTCTGTAAGCGACATGTCCCCACAGACTGTGACAGTTCTGTAAGCGACACGTCCCCACAGACTGTGACAGTTCTGTAAGCTATATGTCCCCACAGGCTGTGACAGTTCTGTAAGCTACATGTACCCACAGGGTATGACAGTTCTGTGACCTACATGTCCCCACAGACTGGGACAGTTCTGTAAGCGACATGTCCCCACAGACTGTGACAGTTCTGTGAGCTACATGACGTCCCCACATGGTGTGACAGTTCTGTAAGCTACACGTCCCCACAGACTGTGACAGTTCTGTGAGCTACACGTCCCCACAGACTTTGACAGTTCTGTGAGCTACATGTCCCAACAGACTGTGACAGTTCTGTAAGCTACACGTCCCCACAGACTGTGACAGTTCTGTGAGCTACATGACGTCCCCACATGGTGTGACAGTTCTGTAAGCTACACGTCCCCACAGACTGTGACAGTTCTGTGAGCTACATGTCCCCAAACGCTGTGACAGTTCTATAGGCTACATGTCCCCACAGACTGTGACAGTTCTGTAAGCTACACGTCCCCACAGACTCTGACAGTTCTGTGAGCTACATGTCCCCACAGTCTGTGACAGTTCTGTAAGCGACATGTCCCCACAGATTGTGACAGTTCTCTAAGCTACACGTCCCCACAGACTCTGACAGTTCTCTAAGCTACACGTCCCCACAGACTCTGAAAGTTCTGTGAGCT